CCTAATTTTATCAAAATCCAAAGTGAAGACCGTATTCTAAATAATTACCATAATAAAAGGTAGGAAATATATATTGTGTGTGAGTGCAAATTAAAATTTTATTTAACTGTTATCTTTATTCCTATTTACAGATGACGGTAACATTCGATCCAGAAGTTTGGATGACAAGTCTGAGCAGGTGGTGGCTGACAAGTCCGAGCAGGTGGTGGCCAACAAGTCCGAGCAGATGGTGGCCGACAAGTCCGAGCAGGTGGTGGCTGACAAGTCCGAGCAGATGGTGGCTGACAAATCCGAGCAAGTAATGACCGTCAAGTCCGAGCAGGTGGTAGCCGACAAGTCCAAGCGAATAGTGGCCGACAAGTCCAAGCGGATAGTGGAGGACAAGTCCAAGCGAATGGTGGCCAAGAATTGCAGTCACGATGAAGATGCTCAAAATAGCGACTGGACTGATAAAATTCGTCTGAGGGAGCATCTTATCTCAGAAATTCGGAAGAGGCCTGCTCTTTGGAATTTCAAACTTCCTCTCGCAAAGCGCAAAATTCATAGGAGAGAGAGACTATGGGAAGAAGTTTCCATAAAACTTAATAGTACTAATTTCTTTTACATTATATAACACATCATTCTTTGATATTAATTACACATTTTAATTAATATTAATTGTATGTTTTTTTCTATAGAAGAAGGGTCAACCAAGAAGCTCAAAAAGATGTGGAGATCTCTCTGTGACTCCTTCAGAGTACATCATTATAGAAAGAAGATGTTGCCGAGTGAATCTACGATCTGTAATCCATGGGTTCATTACGAGAGCATGAAATTTATTTCAGATGTTCAACTACAAAGCTTGTACGTAATATCACACAGTATGCAATATTTCATAATTTTGCAATATGGCAATAGTAATATATCAATATATAAGTAATGTTGTATAAATATTACTATAATATTAAAGATGCGATTTGCTTGACACTACAAATGCTTCGAAATATTTGATTGACCATCTGAAGAAAGAATTTTATTAATTGACCAATCAAAAAATGGTTCGAAGCATTTGTAGCATCAAGCTGAACCATAGCCTAAATATCCGCAAAAATTTATAGTAGAAATATTTGTAGGATATTTTGGCAATATATCTGCAATATTATATGATATCTTTTGTCACAGTACGATAACAAACGCATCAAAAACTAAAGCAACGGATAGGACAGTAAACGATGACAATTCAACCGACAGATGTACCAGTAACTTATCAATTACCTTATAGATATTTCAATGCATAAAATAAGAATACAATTATATACTTTAATTTTTACAGGAAACAGAGCTACGAAAAATCGAGGACGAAGATGCACGAAACGAGGTTGTACATAATCTAGTCAAACTTTCGACACTAAACGCGAACTTGCGTATAAACTCAAACATAACTGATTTTATGAATAATCCAGTAAACCACAGAATATAACAACTATATTGCAGCATTATTATATTGTAACATTCCTGCTATATTGTAAAAATATTACAATAAATGTTGCTATAATGATGCATATATTCCATTTATATATGTATTTGCTGGGAATTTCAATTTTAAGTTTTTTAATTTTTAAAAAGTTTTTTTAAATAAATTTTGCAATTTTATATAAATTCAAAAAATAAATTTTTATAATATTTTCTAAAATGTAATTTGCAATTTTGCATGAGTAACTCCCAACTTTCGTACATGCATAACACGAGAACACGAAAACATTTCCAGCACGAAGTCTCAGACTCTTGGAATTAATCCAGCGAATAATCCGTGGACAATAATATTAATTTCAGGTACACATATATAATTTTTATTTAAATCTCAACTGAATTTGATAATAATCTTCACAAATTAACTTTAATCATCAATTTATATCGTATTGTTTCGTAATATTTTTATCATAATATTTTTATCATAATATTTTTATTAAATTATCTTAAAAACGATTCTCTTGCCACGATATTATTCCACCGTTATTAAAGTATTCGCAAAATTCGTCCCTAATTGTAAATGTAGTCATTTACACGGCACGCTTTATTAATCGGATTTAATAACATCCGTAGTTACGAAATTGGCCAATCATAATTGTTCCTCAAAAGAATGGAACGATTGTGATTGGTCAGTTTCATAATTACGGATATTAAATTCGATTACAATAGTCGTAAACGTTGTTATAAGCGGTTGTAGTTGTAAGAATTGACCAATCAAGTCGAATGTGAGGAGAATATTTGACTGTGATTGGTCAATTCTTACAACTATTATTTACGATTATTATAGAATAGGCTTAAAGGGAGCGTTTATATTGGCCGTAATCTGTAAGAATTGATTAATCACAGTCAAGTTCTCCTTTCATTTGACGGTAAGAAGGAAATACTCGAAGATGATTGGTTAATTTTTACAGATTACAGCCAGTATAAACGCTTCCTAGTGAATGGGTGTAACGAGAAGCACGACTGCTCACTGAGAGCTCAATGAGCTATTTTATTTGTTTGATCTACATTTTCAGATCTAATGGAATATGCCAAAACTCAAATCAAATGCAAAAACTCACTGAGCGCTCACTTGAGCTCTTGCATCTGATTGGCATATTCCATTAGATCTAAAAATATAGACCAAACAGATACAAAAGCTCACTGAACACTCAAGGAGCGGTCGTGCTTCTGGATGCACCTAATGGGCGCTTTCAAGCTGCAAAAAGCTGTTAGTCGAACAATTGAATGTGATTGGCTGGATCTGTAAATAACAACTAATCATATTTATTTGCTCAACAAGCAGGCTAGCCGCTTTGTCGACTCAAATACGCTTTATGATGACACGATTCGAGGAATCTAGGAAATATAATGCTTTAGCTTTGTCACTAGCTATGCTAGTAGCTTTGCATAATTCATATGGGAGCGTTTATATTGGCCGTAATCGTATGCCGTAATCTATAAGAATTGACTAATCACAGTCAGGT